ACGATATAGTACTAACAATACTACTAATTAACGTTAGTAGTACCTAAAACTACTAGTAAGTTATTACTACTAATAACTATACTACTTGTTGTTGTGTGTGTGTGTGTGTGTGTGTGTGTGTGTGTGTGTGTGTGTGTGTGTGTATTACTCTACTACGAGTTACAGCTTTTACAGTAAGAAAGAATATTTTTAATACAAGTATGACATTTCAATTACTTATGCAATCAATCATTCTCAAGTACACAACTTGTTGATTTAAATACTAAAACCTTCTTTACTATTAAAACTTGTGTATTTGAAAATGATTGCATCAGTGATCTAAACTTGCCTGTTATAAAAATAGTTTTCCTTACCGTAAAAACTGTAACTTATAATTATTTTATTATACTTGAAAATTAAGAGCTTCTTTGGCCATGTGCATTTATCAAGTTTCAGTAACTGATAGCAGTTACAAGTAGTATATTGTACAGACGATTGTTGTCATCAGACGAAAAGTTATCAGGAGTTGTATTTTTATTGAGGTATGATAATATTCTAAACATTTCCGGAGGGGGGGGGAGGGGTAGGATTCTAATCAAATGGATTCTAGCAGCATATTACATTTTCCCTCTAGCTGAAACAGATTTTTTAAGTGCAGGTAAACATTTAAATTCTACTTATCAAAGAACATTTCATGACAATCGATTCAGTTATATTTATACATATCAGGAAAACTTCAGTAATTAGTTTTGTTGAGTTTCTAGATTTCAAAAATGACATTAAAGCTACAGTTACATATGTATTTTTTTAACAAACATCTTCTCATCAGTGCTTCACAGAATTCATATCAACAGTATAGCTCAGCTTGTAAAAAATTATTTTGTATTACAAAACCATCTTTTGTCTCCACTATCTATGACTTACAAACAGTTTGATGAACACTGGTGGGACAAATGAAGATTCCAAACATATATTACAAATGTAGCTAGTTGACTTGACCAAACATTTTACTGAAGAAACAACTGTTTTAACAATGAACATTCAGAAATCTCACGTTTAACTGTAATAAACAAAATTGTAAAACTTTATACAAGTTTGAGCTATTCCACATATTGTTATGCCACTTCTTATATTACATCACAAATACTGAAATGATTATAATATAGTAAAAGTTAATTTCAAAGACGAATATTTATGCTTGTGGCAGAATAAAAAATTAGCATATATTTGCCGGTACCTTTGAGGCTTGATTTTCTATACAAAATCATTGCCAACACAAAGCTTTTTCCTGGACATTAATCACAGATGTGTTACTGACTTATTTTTGAACTGTATAAATGCTTAAAGACACAAGACTGTATCAAGCAATACTACCATGGCAAGAAGCCAAAATGCATATTATTTTTTTAACTTTAACTTTTATTTTGTAACTAACTAGCCTTACATCTTTTACTGGTTTAATCTTGGAAGAAACCTATGAAAAACAAGTAAGCAGAACAAGTCTTGAAAGCATTCCAAAACAGGTATTTGATACCTAGAAATCATTTATACTCATGAAAAGATAAAAGAATTT